AGCAGCAACCTGGAGCTCTCAGAACCTTTAAATAAAAACCTCTCGTGACTTCTTTTCAAACTGGGGCTTAAGTTCAGCCGAAGTTATGTCATAGTGACGCCATAAATGTGACCGGTGGTGGTGCTGTTGCCACGCGCTGTTTTACATAGCTGTGGTGCTTTACCATAAAATCATAATGTGCGCGGGGATCAGTGTAAACACAGTCAGGGAAACAAAAGTCCGATTGTTACCACTTTGGCTCAGCTCGACCACCTGTGTAAAAACAGTCAGGGAAACAAAAGTCCGATTGTTACCACATTGGCTCAGCTCGACCACCTGTGTAAACACAGTCAGGGAAACAAAAGTCCGATTGTTACCACTTTGGCTCAGCTCGACCACCTGTGTAAACGCAGTCAGGGAAACAAAAGTCCGATTGTTACCACTTTAGCTCAGCTCTACCATCTAAGTCACTGCTGGGGATGTGCATGCACGGATGTATGTTGCTATGCTAGTTTCAAGATGTATCAGTTTAGTTTCTGTTATGCACGCGCCATTTAGGGTCAATTTTCGAGCGACGTACAAAAAGTTGACTTACAAACATCCATCACATCACATAACGAGCCAAGTGGCAATTTGACCACGAGACGTGGCATGGCTATCTGGAATCGGTAGGCTTATAAGACAGTTTTGTGGTCAGCTCAGGTGGGGTACTGATTTGGCTGGTCACAATATCTTCGTCCTCGTAAAAATGTCATGGCCATGGATTGTCGTCGGAATCGACAGGCTCGCAGCCATGACTAGCTGCAGGACAAGCGGCAAGGAGAAAAGCAAAATGTCTTCAGAGTGGCGCCGATGACATCAGGGGCCCTGGTACGAAACAGGAGGACCTTACCTTTAACAGGTTCGTGGCAGTGAGCGGGAGGTAAGATGATGAAATCACCCTCTGCCAAGCTATCTCCGAGGTAGTTCTGCACGGAATTGGTGACTGATTAAAACAAGCGTAGCTTCAAATAAGCATGACGTCCGCCACCACAGAAAGGCAATGCCAATGTTGGGCACGTTTTGCAGCCACCAAGCAACGAACATTTGAAAGCAAATGACAACTCCATTCGCGAGCGATAACAAACTAAACGGCAGCCAAAATATTGTGGAACCACTCGGATGTCATTTGCATTGCACATTTCTTCGAAACGTATGTAAGTTTGATATCCGCTTTTCAGAAACGTGCTGCCGAAGTTATATGACTTTGTCCAACTGTTGTTCGCTAGTGTGCACAGACCTGTGCAGATACAGGGCTGAGAAGCCATCGTCCATACCGCATCGGAACACCTGCTGTTGCGCAGACATTTGTGTTTGACTCCGTGTTGTGTTGAAACATTACAAGATCTGCAATTTGCTTAGGATGGAACGTGAAATGCACCTCTTTGGAACGTCGAGAAGGCTGATGTCAGAAAGCCATCCCTGACAAGTTTGACTCGTCTGCTATTGTCCGTGGAAAGTCCCATTTTCTACCTGACTCGGGTGGTGAGCTAAAAAAAACATCAGCAATATATCGGTTGTTGGAGACCCAGCGTAGCTGCGACCCTGTTTATTGGAGCTTGTGTTCGGTATATTCAACTAGCGGAATTGAAACGAGCGGGGAAAGCCACGTCCGCCTGTCCAGTAGTTAGTAGAGGTAATTTTGAAATCGTATGAGCTGGAATAACCTGGTGAATCGACTAAACCGAATGCAAATAAGAACCCGGCCGTCTTGTCAGCACTATCTCCGGAATCATAGGCACACAGGCGTTCTTGAAAGTTTTGGATTGCCATGCCGTCTTCGAAAACGATTGAGAGCAGCCGTTTGAGGTAGTTTTCGTTCCGTTCCATTTCCCATTAGGTTCGGCGGTATCGCTTTTACACTGTTAAGCAGTTCGACGCGATCTTTTACAGTGGGTGGTAGTAGGAGGTTTTGGAGTGGAGTGGGTAGCCTTTTTTGGGTGGTAGAAACCTTTATCAACGGGCAGCTACTTGGTCAATTATTGGTTGTAATTGCTCATTAGTGGACACCGAAAAAATGAACAATGCGGTGCAAACAAAATTAAAAAGACCCTCTCCACAGGCCGTCCAGTTCTCAGGAAATTAAAAAGGCCAGGGATTTCTTTGGCAGATGTATATTCGGAGCTATTGATGACCTAAGGGTTCCGTCGGTCAAGATCCAATTTTGAAAGTTCTTTGGAGGCTAAGATGCTCTGAATAAACATTACAATACAGTAATTAGAATGCATAGGTCCTAACAAAATGGCAGCCAGCAGCCATGAAGGCTTAAGGGCCTCATTAGGCAGGGTATTCCGACAAACTCGGTAGTGACATTTTTACAGGATACCCTATAAGTTCAAGGTGCCCCCTCCCCAGGAGTCCCCTAGAGCTCAAAGAGACCATTTGGCGGCGGTGTTTCGTAAGTCCAAGGAGAATAGCTTTGACATGGAGTATAAAAGTTCAAGAGCCCCCTGATAGGACACACGCACGTTCAATAGATCTCTTTCGCAGGTGCCCTAAAAATATAAGTGGCCTCTGAGACAAGGAAGCTGAGAGGCAACAGACATCCCCTCTAACGGCTTCTAAAACAGTTTGCAGCCTTGAAGGCGCCTTGAAACAAGCGAACAGGAGGCGTTCTGATGATCCAAGTCTCTGTGAGTCACGCTCCATTTTGGTTAGAAAGCTCTGAAGAGCCAATGGCTGCCTTGAAAAGGGCCACTTAACACGCAATCCGGGAGTCAAATTGACCCTACCGAAGATGTTTCCAAAATGGTTTCTGAATGACGCGGCCGCGCCACGTCATATTTTGTACAGTTGTAGACAATTGAATGGCGAGATCGTTTGATACTAAAAATTTAGCTGTACCTTGTAAGGTCACTGACCTACGGCTGGTCCAAGTCAGGCCATGGAAATCGTTTAATCTGGTGCAACAACGGAGTGTTAGACGAGATCATACATCTTTGAGATACTTTCTTAGGCAGCGCAGCAATCGAATTAACAAGTTCCGTTGGCCTAAGGTTATTTCTGTAAGGTCAGACGAAGGTCAAAGTCAGTCTGTTTTATTACTCCAGGGCTTGCTGTATTGGGAAGTTTTTGATGTTCATTTTGAATTTGTTGATAACAGAAACTGCATTATACATCCTCCATACATTTCTCAAAGATCGGAATAGGTCACTGACCTAAAATGACCCAGGTCAAAGCTTTGTTTTCTGGAACATGCTGCCTAGCGTAATCTTTGTCCCTTATTCAAACGCAAAACCCAAAGCAATCTTGTAGGATTTTGGTCGCCATGACCTTTGAAAAGTGGGACAGGGTCACTAACCTCAAATGATCATGTGGTCTTTTGCTTAGAAAAAATATTAAGCTTCTTGGGGAACTTTGGACACCAAACTGGAGATTGACCCTTGTTTCACCCTATTTGACCCGAAGGTCATGGCTTAGGAACCTTACAATTTGATCTAAGTGACTTTACGTACAGGCCAACACACCCCGTGAATTCGGTGTCTCTAACTCTCTTAGTTCCTGAGATCTCAGGGGGTCAAATTGACCCCCCCCCCGCCCGAGCGAAAGGTTACCAGCTGGCCACCCGGGCGCGTGTTTAAGATCCGAGAGGTTCCTTTGATTGTCCTCTTCGACACAATTCGAAGGAGTGCGATGGGTCACCTGTGACAAGGATTGCCATTCATTGACCACCCAGGAGACTTCCTGGCGCCTTGGAGGCTCAAAGGCCCTTCTTTTACCACTTTTGACACTTTCATCCTTTTGAAACGCGTTGGGAAGACGGAGCATTTTGGTCCTTAGACATATGTGCGTCTCATTCAGAAGTATCAGACGCCCATTATGGTCCCTCCACCTAGCTCCGCCACTGGTGCCGGTGCGATCCGTTGATTGGTGGCCAAGGAACAGGCTGAGCGAAAAGACCCCTGATGAGTTTGTATGGGAAAATAATCCCGTGGCTGACGAAGTAAGTTCTAACATAACTCAAACTATTGCAGAGGTTTGTTCCAGTTCACAACGTTGACGTTTGGTCATGAGCTGCTATAGTTCAGAAGGTTCAGATGGCTTATGTGATCGGTGGATGACAGTCGCGTGATATGACCGCTTTGGAAGGTTGAAATCCACCAGGATATCTATGAGATAACTGAAGCAGATTCTCATGACTGATTCTGAGCATTACGCGTATTCAAACTGTGTCTGTACCAAGATTTAACCGACATGATTCGTATCGGACGGGATGCAAAGGCCTGTGACTTGATGCTGATTCAAGTTGAGTCAGTGTGGTTTAGCTGGTAACAAGTTTCGAATTGGCTCCGATGATGAATACGGTAGAAACACACGGATCCGAATCAAGTTGATGACCGAGACTTCTAGTGTCCATTGATTCTGCTGTAAATCTGAATCAGGTGGAGCGCGAGTCCACCCGGCTAGCCTCGCAGCTGCCGCCATCACTGATCAGTAGCCAGCTGCCGGTCGTGCGCCGGCGACACTCACGCCACCCCACGGTGACAGCGCGGCGACGTTCGCGCGGTTAGCGGCGCGTCGCGGCGGGACCTTGCACCAGATAGCGACGCGCCCCGCGGCGCGAGGGCGCCGCGCCCGGCAGCGGCCATCCATCAGTGTCGGCGCCCGGTCGTCAGCACGGCGGCACGTCCCGCTGACGTCGGCCATCAGCCGCGGCGGCGGCGCGGCAGGCCGCCTGTCCTGTGCTGGCCGCCGGCGGGCGATGACAGACGCCGACCCAGGCGCTGGCGGCCGGTCTTTCATATGTGGAAACCCTGTCTTTGATTGACTAAATGGCGTGTGCTTCGAGGCGTCTAGTCGCCGAATGTTAATTTTGGGGCTTTTTGCACTATTGAAGGAGGTCAGAAAATTCACATCATTGCATGCTTCACTTTCCATCGCTCTCAAAGCGGGCACCGGTTTCTCAGTGGACCCTTTCGAGTCAGCGGTAGAAGGTCTTTGTTGGTCGGGTTACAGTTTTGTTGACGGTGCTCCGGTTTCAGCGGCCGTTTTCCTGGTCCGGAGCAGTCTGCTGTCGGGAGGCGCTGGTGCCTCGCTGCGTCGCCACGTGCAAGCGCGCCGCTTCTGCCGCCGACCTGCGCCGCTCAGGCCACTGCCGGCCCTCGCACGAGGCAGAGCTGTTCCGCTGCCTCAGCGACCGCAAGGTCGGTTTCCACTTTTGTGTTCCAGTTTCACGGAGTTCGACGGCCCTAGCGACGTTTTGAATATGACTACGGGTTGTCGTCCCCGATGGAGCAAGCCTGTCGTTTGTCTCAGGTTAGCGTTTTCGTTCAGGACGCCCAGTGCGTCACTCTCCCAGATAGAAACGCATTCCTGCTAGCCTCAGGCCTCTGACCAGCTACAAGGTCTGCGCACCACCCGCAGCCCGACTTATGATCCCGTGGTCAGGTCGTGTTGTCACTGGTGCTTCACCACATAGCCCCAGTTGCTGAGGCTATACGGCGTCGCCTGCCTTTCACCCTGGCAGGAAGGGAGGGCACCTCGGGGAATCAAACCCCGTACCTCTGGTTTCCCTGACGCCCAGTGGTTAACGCAGACGCATTAACCACTGCGCCACGGAGCACCCCTTTTGGTCAGGTTGGTGTCCCAGCACCAACTTACTCCTCCCAGATTCGCTTTTGACTTCTTCGTGATCCATCTCCGTTCGGGACGAACGTGAGGCGGCTGAAGTTCAATGATCATTGAATGTTACGTGGCACACAGACTGTTCGCGAGCCCTGAATTCCAAAAGCAGCTCGTGATGTAGAGCAACCGCGATGCGGCAGGTGTTTTAAACCCTTTATCTTGGCAGGGTGATGGGGACTTTCTTCAGGCATAGGGATGAATAATTTTGATTATCACTAGGGCATGCCCTCTGCGTGTGTCTCTTATCCAAAATCATACTGTTACTGTACCCCTGTCGTCGGCGCATCCGTGCACCCAATGCTCTGCGCATCCGCGGCCCAGGGCAATGAAAAATAGCTGACTGAACGCTCGTCTTTGAACGAAGCAGCTGTTGTGCTGTGCCAGTGGTGCTCTCTTCCGCTGCAGTCGTCGGCCATTGGCAGTGGCCTCAATGTGTGGGCCCCTGTTGGCCTGACCTCAGTGTCCCGGACTCGGCGCAGGGCTGCGCCCAGCATCCGACGATGTATGACCAGATACACTTCCGTGGCGAGTTGGCCGGCGCTGGTGTGTTTACGCCGCGGTAGTGTGTTTATTGGTACTGCCCTGGCTGAATACAGGGCGGACACTTCTGTTTTCAGCGGGCTAAGGGCAGCAACGGGGACGGACTAGGTGAAGACGAGGACTTATCTAAAGGTGGGTGAACTGTCAGTGGCCCCTGTCCCTTTTCTTTGTCTTGATCAAATTGTAACCACCTTGTGCTTACTCTGTCGTGTGTATAGATGAATTACAACCGCTTGTGAGCCTGTACCTGGCGCACAAACTTAGCGTTGCTTCAAGGCGCTCAAGGTACCAGTCGATGCCAAGCGATGCCCGATACCACATCAGTCGCAGTTAGCTGTCCCTCCCGCCCGCCATTGGGGGGTCCAGAGCCTGGACCTTCTGAGGTCTGGACTCGAGACCTCAGAAGGCCGGGGTGTGGGATAACCTCCAGCCGCACGCTCTGACCGCCGCGGCCGCGCTGTGCTGGCAGCGAAGCAGTGCTGCGCCGCCGCCGAGACCGCGCCGTGCCGCGCCGTCTGCGCAGAGTCGGAGGCGGCGTCGGCCGTCGGCCGGCCCGGGCCGTCCCAGCGCCTGCAGGGGAGCGCCTGCAGCAAGGTCAGAGGCCACCGCGCGCCAGCACCCCGCGTACTCTGGCGGCCGGGACAGCGCAGTCCGCCGCTGACTCCAGGCCACTGGTGGAAAACGCTTGCCGATCCCCGCTGCCGTCCGCAGCAGGCAGTTCGCTGTGCTCCTGGCGTTGGTGCGGGCGAGGCAGTGGGCTCGCTAAGACTGGCTCTCCTCACGCCTGGGTGACTGTATTGTGTATGTATATACGACGTCTGGGCGACCTTTAGTTAAATATTTGCTCGTGGTGGACGATTTTGTGACCGGTGACGGGGTTCATCCAGCCGTTTTATCGGCCATACGAGAAGTAGCGATGTACACGCAAATTAAGAACTCCTATTTTGATTAGATCAGACTACATTGACATCGTGAGTTCAGGGTTGGTGTGCCGAGTTAGCGTCTTTCAATATACCAGGCGGTTTAAAGTTCAGAACATTTTAGAACAAACGGTAGCTACATGAACAGCATTTGACGTTTCAAACTGTGTTTCATGGTCACAAATGATCATAAACACAGCTTGAAACGTCCAGAATTGAGATCTGTATATATATATATATATATATATATATATATATATATATATTAATATATATATGTATATCAATTAGACCATGGCAGTCCTAGAAAGCCGTTTAACAAGACCTCATTGGTAAAGCGGGGTCAAAAACTCAACATAAGAACTCGAAGCTTTTTCTGCCAAAAACAAAGAGCTGAAGGGCTTGCTTAACTGTGTCAAGCTACATTAGCCTTACTTGAAGCGGAATATCACTGAACTGAGTTCTTCAAAGCGCGGCTCTAATGGGCTCCAAGATAACTCTCGAGTATGCACTGTGCTTCAGATTATCGCAGTGTAAACATTTAGGCAACGCAATCTAGGAAATCTTGTAATCTGGAAGAGCATTCGAGTAGCGTATATCACTAGATAACTGCATGCGAGCTTTTACGTATTGCATCCTCTGTTTGCATTACACAAATGTGACGAACATCTGGACACTGTCAATCAGCAGGGGCAATCACTGACTGGTAAGCTACGTTAGGGGAAAAATCCAACAAAGCATTTATGCTGTAGTCGCAATAAGAATAGGCCCTGGAGCGGTACCTGATATCAACAGCTTGCTGGGCGCGTCTGAAGCACATGACACTGCTTCCAGAGGCATGCTCACATGATGTTCTCACGTGTTTTTATTGGTGCCGCCTGAGTCAAAATAACGATAAAAAATGTGATAAACGGCAACGCATCACCATTGTTTACTGATGTTTCTTCTGCCGTGTTCTGGCGCTGATCAGAAGTGGGAAAGTCAAACAGTTGTTAGCTCGCTGCTCCCACATGAAATCGTTTACACTGTGGGCGAGATGAAAAGGTCCGCGTCAACGTTGCAGCTAAAAGCGATGTGTTCCACGCGTGCAGCACGCTCATCAGAACGGTTCCACGACATTGGTTGCTATAACAAAAACTCCCACCCACAAAATGCTCCATCACCCTCACTGGCAGTACTTAAAACAGGGCATTACTTCCGCTGGAAAGGATGCTGTACGACATTTGAGACCAGTCAAAAGACTGCTCAAAATGTATACCAGCCGCAGCTTTTGCTGTAACTTATATGGTCTGCAAGCAGACGCAGCATTATTTTTTCCGTCAATGCCAAGCCAGTCAAGTGCAAAATGCGTGAACACGTAACATGGCTGTAGGACCAATTAGCAGATTAGAAGGGAACCCTAAACTCGGTAATTCTACGGTTTATATCTCTTGGTGCCGATACGGTGAATCCCTAACTCACTTAGTTGCGTTGTTTTGTTTTTTTTGTCATGCTTGGCGTAAGATCGAATGCTATAGATTTGGTAGCGCAGTCCCAATGACGGGTTCAGTTTATGGCACTATCAGTTTTGCGGTGCAGACGTGTGGTACTAGCACTGTGCATAAGTAATTGTAGTTTATGTTTTGCTATTTTAAGTGAAAATCAGGCCAAGGATTCAGTCTCATATTCCTTCGGGGACCCTGTCTACCCCTCACTGGGGATATGAAGGTGTGTTACATTATGAGCAAACGTCCTGCTTTATGTACTTGGGACAGGGTTGGTCGTTTTTACCCCGCTTAGGCCTTAAACTTTCTTTCACCACAACGACACTGCATTATACGCTGTTTGTTTAGTAGGAAAATACTGCGTATAACTTTTTCCGTTATAGGTCCGTCGATTGCAATAATTGCAGTATCAATGGTGTATCGACAACATTCAGTGAGCACTGATTTCGGCATCCAAGTGTTTCCATGATTTTACTCCTTCCTGGGTTTTGGAGGGGGTTAACCTATGAGTGAAAGTATAGACAGGTATAATTTCTGACGCAGTGTATTGCACAGCACGAAAAATGTGTACGAGCATTGGCAGTTTCAGCAATATCACTCAAAGGCTAAGACGACAAGCTTTTCCAACTGACGTAATGACGGTATAAGCCTTTAGGTGTAAGTTTTGCATGACTTTTAAGCTTTGTCGTTTAGAACCACTGTCGTATGACACTGTTTCAAGCAAGGTAATGTTACGTCTAAGTAGTGACTGCATAAGTTTGTGTTGCGGAAGCAATGATTGGCATATGTTTTTGAAGTGTAAGTTTTGTGGTGTAACCACCGTACACTAATGCTGTGCATAAGTTTTTGCAATAAAATCGTCGCGTCTTAAGTGCCGCGTATAAATTGTCGCGCATATCGCGAAAACTCTTGGTAACTGAAGAGAAGTCGCGTACAGATAATTGCCATATGAGCTTTCGGAGAAGAAGTAATAGCGGGTATGGATTTTTGAAGCATAAGTTTTGACGCGTAGCTCTTTATGAATACATATGGGCAGTAGAAGTATGTTGCAAATGAGTAAAGTCTGAACATTTTTACGATTGATATAATGTCGCGAAGAGGCAACGCCGAAGGAGGTTTTGCAGAAGAGGTAATGCCGCGTAGAACTAATGCTGTAGCACCCCTGCCGGTAGGAACTTTTGCCTTACCACTAATATTGCGACAGCTATCCGAACCCAATGTTCAGACGACGCATGTCATGTAGGTATCCCTACCAGTTTGCTAGATGCTAAAGTGTCCCCGTCACCTTCGACCTTCGACCTTCGATCATCCACAGCCATCGAGCCAACCAGTGTGTACATACGTGCCTCGAAGAGCCTCAATCTGCCCTGGCTGTCCTGGCCCTCACAGATCGTTATCCATCCGACTGCGGCCGGCCTCCTCCCCGCAGGATGCAGCGTTCCGATCGTGCGTGGGCGTTGAGCCGCCGGCGCCGGCGCGGCCGCTCTACCGGCTGGAGCTGCTCTGCTGCTCCCTGGCGGACACGGCCCCGTGCCGCCGACTCTGCAGAGACGCCTACAGCCTCGGCTGGCACCTGCAGGGACCGAGCTTCGAGCTCGAGTGCCTCAGCAGCGAATACGGCGAGCCTCGCCTACGCCGCTGCGTCAGAGACGGTACGCTGCTGGCGTTGGTCTGGACGAGACTGGGCTGCGGGTGTGAAAACCCCGTGTGCGAGGTGTCAGAGGTAAGAGGTTGTGGTCACGGCGCTGAAGTGGACTGGCGTAAGGATCCCTTCTCAGGCCCGCTTCGTCATACGGTAGGTGGACCATTCCTGTCCGGAGGGCATTGGGAAGTGTGCGTCGATGTTACCATTGGAACACATAGGTAACCCGGCAATCCCTCCTAGCGGTATGCATGCCTTCGCGGCTGCCACCTCTTCCCTTATCGTTCTGAGAACTCTGTGATTTTTGTTTGTCCGTATCAATGTCTGGCATGCTTTGTTTGACTGGTAGCGAGCACTCGTGCATATCTACCTTCGTTCGCACCCGCATCACTCAGCCGCTACAACTCATGCAAATCTCCCGAGCATGCACTGTACGTCTTAGACGGCTTGTTCTCCGCAGCGGAGGTGCCCTGCCAGCCCAACTCGGGCCGACTACGTTTCTGTCGCGACTTCACGGCCAGCAGCACGGGCCTGTACCGTCATTGGGACCAGGAGTCCGACGACAAAGCCAAAATGCAGTACATTGAGTGGATGCGGTCGGGAAAATTTGGTGAGATGTAGCTGTACGAGACAGTGGCGACATGGTGGCGATTACATGTACTCTCCTCTCCTCCGTGTGCCGCTCAGCCAATCGCAGCTCGGACTGAGCCGTTCTCTCAGGCCGTCACACAAGTTAATTTCACGGGATACCCACCTTCCCCGCGTTATTGCCACTGAGCTTGCGTCCCAGGATGTTCCCTCTCCCCCGTCGCTGCCACCGAGCTCGTGTCCCGGGATGCCCACCCTCCCCGTCTCTGCCGCCGAGCTGGCGTCGCGTGGTACCCACCCTCCCCGTCCCTGCCGCCGAGCTCGCGTCGCGTCGTCATCACTGACCACCACCAGACGAGTCCGGTCTGCTGTGACCGACCTCTGCGCTGCCGGCGTCCCTCAGGCGTGCCGTTCCGGAACCTGTCCATCGTGACGACGGGCCAGTGTCGGGCGGAGCTGCGGCGGCTGGCCTGCTTCCTGCAGCTGCAGCCGTGCCGGGCGGAGGACCATTCGGTGGGCGACGTCTGCAGGTGAGCTGGACGGCCGACCGTCGGCGCTGGGGTCACCGGTCGGCCCCTCTTCGGCCAGCGACGCGCTGCAGCTCCCCGGAGCACTGCTGGCGGCTGTCTGGTGATGTCCCGGAGCACTGCTGGCGGCTGTCTGATGATGTCCCGGAGCACTGCTGGCTGTCTGGTC